CTCCGAGAGCGCTGTCTTCCCATCACGCGATGCAACCGACACTACTGACGACGCGACGTGCAGTATATCTGCAAACGTTTGTAACAAACTATAGATTAATCGAACAACTCGACAAAGCGAGCAAAGACCGAACTCAACTGCTTGACGTTCAAGCAGAGAATGAATGAGTTGAGGCTAGACAGCAGCGTTGTTTTATATCTTTTCAGGTTAAAGCAGAATGATGTGCAACCAAGTGGTACTCGATTATGACGACTACGTTCGGAAACAACGTTTATTTCATGAAAACAGTGAAAAAATTATCACTTTTTATTTGTACCTTGGATAATGATTGACATTACCACTTTTTCAATAGTTTCTTGTTGAAAATCATCAGTTGGAAGCATTGCGTGGACATATTTCTGATCGATTGGTGATAAAATTATTGAATTTGATCCAGGGGCAGTTGAGTTATTAATGTTCAAAATCTTTCATAATTTTGTTTCATGTTCCATGTTCGATTTTTACAAAGTGTACCCCAGTAAAGAAATTAAAGACGTAGTCCTACGTCAAAAACGACCTGAAATGTGCGAAATATGAAAAGTTTCAACAGATTAACAAAGTAAACTCAAATATACCAAATTTCTCCACATATAGGTAAAATAAATCAAAGATATTGGATTTGATTTTTTTTTCAAGAGAGACTGCAAAAGGTTTTGAGACATTTTTTAAAAGGCGATTCCCTCCAATTCAGCAGAAAAAGCACACGAAGTCGAGCGCTTCTTATTCGCTTTTAGCCTATCCATACTCCGAAGCATGGAGAGAGAAGTGTAGAAAGCACCGGTCTGATCACCGCAACGTTCGTGGTTCGAGTCCAGTCGGCACCTTTTTTTCTATTTTTTTTTCGACATGATTAATTTCACTCACTAATACAGTCCACATGTTTCTTTCTCCATTTTCTTGCATTGTACCGCAGCAATGATGAATCCCTCATCCTTAAGCAAATCCCTTTACATTAATACGCTAGACTGACTGATCCATAGTTTTTATAAAGCTGATCCGTGATTGTTGAGTGAATGTACCTTAAATATAATCATAAACTTTATGTTTGCAATTATAAATGCGATTTGCATGAACAAAAAAAAAATCATAGTTACGCGTTACAGCGGGGGAAGGGGGAGTAAATACTGCAATTTTGTGCGTTACGTAATTTGTGAACAGACCCTAATGCGGTCGTCGGAATATTTTTCAAACGATTGTGCAAAATTAATCTTAGCGTTTTTGGTTCAATAGGGTAGACAACTACTTCGGCATAAGCGCCCATTTCCGTCATATCGCGCAGAAACATCAAATATTTCAATAATTTCATCGTGAATGAATCAATAATAAGTTTGTGACGATCCCAGAATCCCTATTTCTGGATGGCTCCCTTGCCGGAATCCTAGATGCTTGAGCATAAGCAGTAAACGCAAACCAAAAATGTATTTCATTGAATGTTAGTTCAATTTCCTATCATCCTCCGCAGAGAATAATATAAGTTGACCTTGCAGACGATGCAATGATTTTTATCGTTAGCAGACATAGTGGGAAATAGGTTGATTAAGCCATGGTCATCAAAAGAGGAAATCGATGAAGAGAATTTACTTTCACCCCTCTGCTTCTAAGCAGATTTTCCAAAAGAGTCAAATTTCTGAGCATGTCATAACTAAAATTCATATCAAAAGGTTCTTTTCAGGGCAATCATAGTCATGCTAAAGAGTATACACAGAGAGAACCCCGCTCAAATTCCTATTCCTACACAAAACACAGGCTCCTGCTGCAGTTAACGCATTTTTATTATATAAGATCACGTAGTCCTACGTCACCATTGCGTACAACCCCATAGGGCTGTCCCTTGTAGTTTTTTTTATTTCGTGTGCTGTCTACGCGTTCGACTATGCCATACCAGCAAACTTTGTATTTATAACATTGTAGAACGACGCACACATTTGCCACGATTCTCTCCAATTCCCGTTCAGCAGAAAAAAAGCATACGAAATCAAATTATCGTACTAAGCGCTTCTTATTCGCTTTTGGCCTATCCATTAGAGTTATGCAAAATTTGCAATTTTCGCTCCACAATACTTAAATGATTCCAAATCGGATCCTGACTAACCTCTCAAAATTTGAACCCATTTGGTGAGAGACTGAGATGGCACAAACCATTTGAAGTTTGTATGGGAATTACTATGGTAAAACCAAGATTTTTGTTCATGTCTATCTAATTATTCACCATATCGGTCTGCTTCAAAAGCTTTCAGTTGTACTTGTAGGAAATTTTTCCAGCTACCAGTGGTTGAAGACCACTTTTTGATTAAATGCAAGAATCGAAAGTTATCAATGGTTCAATGCGCTGATGTCTTATGATCATGCTCAATCAACTGCTCAGCAGGCAACATTGGTGTTTCTCGGGCGTTGAATAGGACACAAAAATCATGGCTACTATGTCACGCTGCAAAATACAGTGTTGCCTACAGAGCAGCTGCTTGATCATGTCATAAGTTTATCAATCTCTTAAATAATTAATAACTTTTTCCTGTCTCGTTTTATATAGAAACGATATTGAGCAAAGTTGTAGCTGAGAAAATTTTCTATAAGAATGGCTATCGAACTGTTTCGCAGCTCAATATGGAAAAAGACTAGAAGGCAATGAACAAAAATTTGAGATTTCCCATAGTAATTTACATGTAAACTTCAAATGGCTTGTGCGAAGTCTGTTTCTAACCAAATAAATTGTAACTTTGGGAGGCTAATCAGGATCCGATTTGAAACCATTTAAGCACTATGGAGCGAAAAAGTCAAATTTTGCATCAGTCTACTATCCATGTTCTCCACTAACATCCTGCGATGATGAATCCCTAATAATTGTAGGCAAATCTTACATCCCGGTTGGCTGACCGCATATGGTATTCTTATTAGCGATCCAATGGTGTCCATGAATCTGGAAATAATAATAATAAGAACATAAAAACCATCCGGGAATTAGGATTTCTCACTGTAGTTCAATGCAATGATACAAAATAAAATATATAACAACGCATAACATGAATACTGACATCCATTCTACTCAAAAACAAAAAAAAAACAAAGAATCAATTTTTCCTACCAGAATCCTTGGCCAGCATCTGTATGCCGAAGTGAATCGAATGACGCTTCAACGAGGACTGGAATTACATGGAAATCACTAATACTTCTCTCTTTTTTTTATCAATCAAGTTGCCAAAACTGAAAGGGTACAATGGATAAGACACATTGTGAGAATGTCAGAAATAAAAAAAAACATGTTGATTTTCACATTTAAATCCCCAAAAATTATTTTTAATTTTCATATATATTTTTTTCGTGGTTGATATTAATGATTCTCGTTTCCAAAAAATCCAGAAGTTCGGTGTTCTCGACCAACTTTTGCTATTCAAATTCTTTATTCAATTTTTTTCCTTTATTTAACGCCGGTCTCTGTTCCGCAATCTAGTACCAATCACCATTGACGGCAATCGAATGTGCAGGAAGGCAGCTTCCACACCTGCGTAGGATATCACACCCATTCAAACACACATGGGCCGGGACCAACGGATTTACTTCCCCTTCCGAAGGAAGACGTGATCAGAGATTTGTATGCCTCAGAAAAATCCCACCGACCTCGGCTGGGATTGAATTCAGACCCATTAGGATGAGAAAGCAGTTACGCTTACCACTACACCACCGGCGCCGGCTAATCAAAAGTTATAGAAATTATTAACATTTACTTACATAACATTGTCGATACTTGGGTCATTTAAGTATTATACGTTAAACAGGCTGATTATGCATAAAGCGGTACCTGTATGTCATTGTATTAACACAGAACACGGAAAGTATTAACACAGAAAAATGGACGTCATTCTTTGAATACATTTGTCTTGAAAACATTGTACCTCAATAAATAGTACCTCAGTAACGACATCTCTTAACGGCGCCGGTGGTGTAGTGGTAAGCGTGATTACCTCTCACCCCAGCAGGCCTGGGTTCAATCCCAGTCGGCGCCGCCGGGATGTTCTAAAAGGCATAACATCTCTGATCACGCCTTCCTTCGGATGGGAAGTAAAGCCGTTGGTCCCCGGTTCATGAGTTGATGATGGGTCGATAGGTAGGGTCCAGGTGTGGGAGCTGCCTTCCTGGCACGTCGGTAGCATTGGTGCTCAGCACGGAAAACAAGATCGACGGAAAAAACAAACCAAAGGAAAAAAAAAACGACATCTCTCGAGCTTCTCACGAAAAGCAAGCCAGCTGGCTAAGTGAAAAACAATGTTGCATGCAAGTTAAACAGAATATATAGAAATGTCAAAGTGATCCGATGTCAGCGCTGCGGTGCGTGGTTCGCAGAAATGAGAATATTCAAACCAATCGTTAAATGCGTGAACGATGATCCAGAATGAAGTTGTACGTCTGTTTGTCTGTGGTATTAAATTCAATTATTTCAACCCCTGCAAAGCTCATACACACACAAATGTGTCATAGTCACCAAATGTTGTTGGAACCGCCATAAAAAAATCGCCTACCATATCACCTACCCCCATCCAATCAACGGACGAACCGTGCTCTAAATTTGTTTCTAGTAGCAATTCTATTGGTGCATCATTTTATGATCGAGCCGAACTCAAAATTACAACATAAAACAGAACATTTGCTCCTAACCAGAAACGGTGACAATCACAAAAACCGGTCACCTAAACCGAAACTTTGCACAAGTCATCTTCCCAGTCACCACACACATTGCACTCAGACGTTTGCCATCAATTGACCCCCTCTTAATTGAACAATTGTATGCCGTGAATAACGTACATTCGCATACGCGATGCTCCATTTTAGCAGAACAGATGCTCCATTTGTGAATCGAGTGGGATTGGCATTGATGCAATTCAAAACGTTTTTTTTCGTATTGTTATCATGCGTTTCGAGCTACAACCTTTGTCAGCAAAGTTACACATTCTAAACAATAGGATTACCAGCAAACCGCTCTTGAGGTACTGAGGAATTTCCTTCAGCTTGAGGTCGGCGCAGTTGTAGCCGACCATTTTCTGATACCGCTCCTGTGTGCACCGTTGGGTTTGATCGCCTGTCAGACCTGCGGCGAATCCGTCGGCATAGCTAAGCGTTAGCGTAGCGAGCGCTCCCAGAGCGAGGAGAACACGCTTCCCGGCCAACATTGGCTGAATCATCATCTTCGTCGCTGATGATGATGGGTCGTGGGGTGGTGGGTGGGGGTTGGATCGGATCTGGAAATAGAAACGAATGAGAAGTTTTCTGTTTTAATTGCAGAGCTTTCATCATCGGTCGTTGAGGTTATAGGTTTGGGAAGGGCTTATGCAACAATTCGACTCGGTTTGAAATGTATAATCATTTCCAAATCATTGGTTTGCTGATAAGGTGCTTACTTTTGTACGCTGCTGATGGATTGAAAATTAACTACGCTTATATGACGGGGCGCACAGGTTGATGACGAACAGTTGATAGACATTGTGGATGTGCTGTAACGAACAAACATGTGAACAGTTGATGTGCTTTTTGTTGTGTTTTGAACGGATTGTTTATTTCACATGTCGGAAGGCTTTCTCGCTATCAGTGTCATTTATCAGCGAGTTGATCGGTGGTAAACATTTTAAAATGTTTATTTAATTACTGTGTTGGTTTCTGGTGAAAACCAATGTCGTTGTTTCGTTTTCCGAATCTCGGCAATTTTTTGCCGAGATTTGCACAGCCGAGCTCCCGGAAAACAAATTGTACTGAGAGTTCAGCAAAAGGGACGTTTTTTTGTTGAATGTCAAAGAGTTTTTTTTTCTCTGAATCTCAGTAAACAAACGTAATGTTTGCTGAAATCTCAGTAAAATATGTTACCAAGCTCTTGGCTGTGCAAATCTCGGTAAAACATTGCCGAGCTGGTGATAGCAAATCTAAGTCGTGTATACAATGTTATTGATCATGTTTTTACTTTTAAATCTGTAGCTGGATGTTAATTTCTATTCTACGGAATTTCCATTCAAAAAATGTTTCTGAGTGGATAATCTGTTTCTATCTAAAACAGGAATAAGGGTGCTTATTTAAGAGGTTCTATAACATTCCCCAGAATGCACCATTCTCCAGAAAAGCATTCCCCAAAATGTACCATTCCCCAGAAAAGATGATGAAATTAGTAATTTATCACTTTTTTTTTGGTTATTTGATATTATATTTCAGTTTTATATTACAGAACAGCTTAATATGTATACATATTTTATTTATTACTTTATGGAACTATGTATTTATCAATTCCAAACCATTTTATAGCTCTTTAGAAAATGACAACCTTCAATTTATCGAGCCATTCCTTCATCATTTTAAAAGTCAAAGGGTCTATTATGCAATCCAATTCAACCATTCGGAAACTGTTAAACCTTATCGAAGAATTGTTCGACCTGAGTTGAAGAATTTCTCGTGATGGATTGAAAAATCGGTGCATGGAACGTTGAACTACCGATTACAAATTTATAACATTATTCCACACGTTATTATCCTGAATGGGCATTACCCCGTATCCCTTGCGGAAAACTATTGATTATATATTTTCCTTAAATATTAAAAGAAGGGAATATTCCCTTCTTTATCGTATATCCAAAGAATTAATTATTTCCTTTTCTTATATTTTCAAAGAAGGGAATATTCCCTTCTTTATCATATATTTAACGAATTAATTATGTTCTCTTTCATATATTAAAAGAAGGGAATACTCCCTTCTTTATCGTAAATCTAAAGAATTAATTATTTCCTTTTCTTATATTTTCAAAGAAAGGAAAACCTCTTGATCAATTAAGAAGTTTTTCTATTCTTTTTATGTACGCGAAAGAAGATTCCAGGAGTGACTATAATAAACAAAAATAGTCAATCTAAAACACGGCATACTTTTTTGGGGAATGATTCATTCTGGGGAATGGTGCATTCTGGGGAATGAGATTCTGGGGAATGGTTTTTGGGGGAATGGTTTTCTGGGGAATGTTATAGAATCATTTAAGATTATTACGATAAATACAGACATATAATAAAATAAATTCAAATAAAGTCTTGGCAGCATTCAGAGTAGTTTATGAGCTTCGTTATTTGTATCATTTTTCCTATTCTAAGGCAAACGCTCCTATAGGTGCGGTACTGCAATAATTGATGATTTTCATTAAAAATGATGTAACAAGTATTTTCAATCCTGAAAGTCTCGATAATACAGAAAACTTAACTATACATTTTGGACCGTTTACTTATTCTTTTATCACGCGATTTAACAAGTTTCAATCGTTAAGTCAGTTATTATTACATAATAATAAACATAAATCCTTAAAATTTTGTAGCATTTGCGTCTATAGTTAAGGTGCCGATAGTTGCGGGTTCAATAAATATTGTGCATATGACCAACATTTAGAGCACATTTGGCACTGTGCTACCATATTTCAAGTGCAATGTTTAGTATTGAAAAGTGTAGGCTTATGGCCCGTGTAAAAAAATAAATCGGTTTGACATTGATTAGTTGGTCCCGCAACTATAGGAACAAGCAGCATTAAATACCACAACTATGGTCACACTATGCACTGCCGTTCAACGCATATCAGTCCCATGTTTCAAAAGTTGCGTTCTCCGCTATGTTTTGGAAGATCCTAGAAGGTTTGTATAGCTTTCCATCATTAAATTATACCAACAATAAATTTGTTTACATTGCTACTTCTATAAAACCACTAAAAGTATGGGCATCTCAAGAAACTAATGATGAGTGCACTATGTACATATAATATAAACTTCTTAGCATCTTGTTCTACTCCTTACCAAGATAAACGTAGGCCTAAATGAGATTGTGCTTAATCATTTTGAGTCCGACTATAGATTTATGGCGGCTGACATGCTGTGGACAAAAGATCAATACGCCACACGATCGTTGACCGTGGGCTTCGATGATTTAAAAAAAACTTTGGTAGAGTTGACATGCATATGCAAATTTCTTCCGTACGGAGTTGGCCTTTATACTACGTATTATTATATTATATAAGGGGCTTTTCATGAAACACGTAGGCACTATAGAGGGAGTGTGGGGGAAGTCAACGTGAGTGTCTAATAATGCATCGTTGGAAATTAGAAACTGGTGTTTTAATATGCAATCCCGTTTTTTTTAAATATATCAACATAAAGTAAAACTTCCACTTCCTAAAATGGTTCATACCGTTTCTTTTGATTATGTAAATCCTGTTTCAATAATTTGTGTACACAAATCGATTCGTTAACGATAGATTCAGTGAAGAAAATCTTTGTGGGACAGTTATGCGTAGAATTTTAACATGGGACAATTAGGCTTGATGTTGTTTTATACAAACCCAAAACAAATTATATGTTTTTCTATTTTCATTCCAAAGTCTACCTAAAAAAGTACTGTTTTATGAACAAAAGTGAAAAACGTCCAAAAGTAAAATGGAACAGATATGCGTAGAACGGCAGGGTATGGAGGAGAATTTATCAATAAAATGTAATTTGCCAATTGTTGCACATTTCACATTGTTTACTGTGCAGCATTTATCGATGACCATAAAGTTTACCAAGCATGGTGTGATCAATTGTTGAATGATTAAATATATGTTTTTGATATTCATTATAAGAAATATTGTGAAAAAACATGTTCTAAGTATTTTTGACATTGTGCATATGATTTCAGGCGATTTTTTTTTAATTTTAGCTAATAATCCTCAGTTGTATTCAGTTACTAGCTCAAAATGCAATTAAATTAATTAATCTGTGCAGCAAGATGTTGGTTATTATTTTATCAATCGATGAATTGCAATATAGGGTTAACTACCCCATGTCCGGCATATTAAGCACAACCCGCACTTAGTCTTTCTTAATCTAACGCAGTTTAGCACCAAACGGAATATTATTTTTACTGATGGCTTCCAAATTTATTTACCTTTCCATACGTACCGTAAGATTTGATAAAGAGAAACCAATCGTTGAGATATTGTCAAAAGTCTAACTCTACTTCTTGACACCAAACTAGGCCTACGGATTCTAAACTCGACCTAACGCATTGAACCGCCATTGAAGCGCCAATGAATTCACTTCGGCCTATCGTATGAAGATAAAAATTGATTCGGTCGGAGCCTTTCTTTTGTTTTTGGGAATAAATAATGGGTGCAAACTTTCATATCACGCGTTCTCATTGACTTCATTCGGTAGCTTATTAACCAAAGTATAGTACCAAACGCATAATTGACTTGTTAACTCTGAAATCATGGATTTATTTGAAGTTTTCTGCTCGATAGGCACAAAATGGGCGATTAGGCCGAAGTAGTTCTCTATCCATAATAAATTTGTTATGGTTATTTTCCTTAACGACGCCCAAACACGTCGTATCATCCAAACTATTTGTGGAAAAGTTCGAATATTTGGGTTATTGTTCGTTTATGGTATTTGTTTATTAGGGATCCTATCTATCAACCATGCAAAATTTACAGAAAAAGTAATAATGTTCAATAATTGGATCACTTTTGCACTCTTGGTCCTGGATTATTGTCTATAGAGATTTTCATGTCCGGTTGTATTGGTGCGATATGTGAGAGTGTGTTAGTGAATATCCGAGGAAAATACATAACAAATCGATGTCAAACTCATTTTGACAGATCTACTTTCATACATTTTTTAGGTTAGCCAGAGGAAAATAATAAACAACTTTACACGGTGTTGCTCCCGCTAGTGTGCGTGCGTTAAACGTCACTAATCTCTATGTGGATAACTCCTAAAGGTATGCAACGTTTCATATAAAACAGCTGCTGAGACACATTTTACTTCTGTTGTTGACTGGTTCAATAAAATTAATAAAATAACTTATATCTTAAGTACACCATACCGAATAGTAACGTTTAATCATCGAAAAGAATCACTAAATGATCCTTCAGCAAACATTAATTTTAAGATGCATTTAACCATATTTATTGATACAATGTGTGCCATAATAGAATTTCAATGCGAATTATGCGTGCAACAATTGGGCTCTGAAGCGCATTCCAAAAAGCTTCTTACAAGGAAAGCTTTTGTGAATATACACTGCTTATTAGCTCTGGAAATGCTTCATTAGTCGCATTGAAAAATTTCTTGTGGAATTTCTTCTTCAAAAACCTCGTAAAAACACGAAATAACAAAAAGCACGTGCTTAACTGAGTAATAAGTGGCAAATTACCCTAAACTAGAAAATGAAAAAAAAAAAAATAGTAAGACA